AATTTTAAGTCACTTTGTTTTTGAATGTACAACTTAATTTATAAAATTTGGGTCTGACGACGTATAGAATACATTTCTTGCTTTAGATATTTAAAACTGTTTTGTTTAAATATTAGTATACTCACACAAAGTTTCACTGTAATTGGATAAACCTTCGAAGAAAAAAGTGACAAAATTGATTTTGACTAGGGTCGCCCCTAGTCCAAAATTGAAAATGTATTTCCTACTTGGTAAATTTAAAATAAAAAAAAAATCACAGTGAACTTTTAATTTGAAAAATTCGTAAGAAAGGAAAGTTTTTTGCTTTTTCTGAAACAACGGCTGTTCCTACCTTGCCCAAAAACAATACAGCTCTTCTATAGAGCAGCACGGATCAAATGTAAAAAACTAGAAGTCTCTACGATGTCTCGTTATTGAGATTTCTTGCTGATTAACTTGCTTGCTTGCTTGCTTGCTTGTTTGCTTACAGAAAGCGTATTTTGCAATTTTCTCAGCAATGCCGTAGCCAATTTGAAATCTGTTTTTTTGAAAATGATGTAAATTTTCAGGCACAAACTTTTCTTCTGTGACCTTTTATAACCAATTTTGCTTTGTTTTCTCACAAAATGCGAAAAACTGATTTTTCAATCTGAACAAAACCAATAGATTCACACGTGAAAACGGTGTGAATATAAAAAAAATCATTTTATAATTTAAGCCAATAGTTTGAAAACGTGGGGATCTCTGTAGAGTAGCTCGTGTAGCTAGTTTCTTAAACTTCGCTAGGAACTTTACTCCTTGAATTGATAATTGATGTGATGAACTTTATTTGATTAGCATAAGCGTTAAACAGGAGAAAAGAGTGGCATTTTTAAAAATCTTTATGGAATCAGAGATAATTGATCTATATGTAAGAGAATCTACCAATTATAGAGTTTCATATCTGTGGCCGAATGGTTAAATCACAGTCCAAACATGATTTATCCTCTTTTGTTAAATCGTAGGTTCGATTCTTACTAAAAACCATTTTCCCAGTCATTACAAGGATTGTTATCTTTGTAACAAGGATATTGTACGAATCCTAACATTGCATATCCTTAAGGAAATATAGAAGAATGACAATTCTGTAACTTCTAAAAGGTAAAGCATGGAGAGGGCTCAGCCTTTTGATTTGGAAACACTGCGATTCAAATTGAACAGAATCTATTGTACTACACCCTTTAGACCTACAGTTTATAGTGGAATCCGAACCACTTGAACAAAGATGATGAACGAAGGAACATTATTTTTTAACGACTTCCTCACAGCAACTCCTCAAAAGCTCATTGAATAAATTAGTGAAAACTTTACCAAATTTGTTACAAAAGCAGCTTAAAGAAATTAGCATACACACAGACACCAGACAGCAATGAAACAGTCATATCAGATAGAAATTTATGGATTTCCAAATGAAGCAATATCCTCAAGTGCAATCGAACAAATTGATGACGAACAAGTCGTCAAGTTGATAAGTCATGTAACTCAAAATGTCTTCTTTAACTCCTCTGAAATGAACGCTTAACGATTAATATGAAGAAGTCTTGAACATTTTGAAGCAAATGTATGTTTACAGCACAATTTATGAGCAAGAAATCTTGTACGAAATTTTTTAATCAATTCAACATTGTAGCAAGTCAACAAGAAGACACAAATTTCCAACTAATTTTAAATGGAAAAGGTCAAAATGAGTTCAAAATAAGCGTGAACATTTCAATTAGAATCAAAAGTAGGATCCTTTTTTATATTAAATTTACAAAAATGTTGCTCCCTACACACAATTTTCCACATTTGTTATGTAAGCTTAGAAAGAATTGGAATTAATTCTTCTTGCCTTTGGTGTCTGTCTCTTGTTTTAAAAATAGCGTATAATTTAATTTTTTATGCATGTGTTTATTTTTTGATGATGCCTCCCAGACTTAAAATATTTTGAAACCTAAGATTACATTTGACATTCATAAAAAGTCTTCTTAATATTCTTGAAAAAACATTCATTTGTGGCTTGTCATCCTTTAATTAATTATTTAATGATTGTTGTTTGAATTTTTTGAAGTCTTGTTTTACTAGGATTGTTTGAACGGATTTAAACCTTATTGCTTAGAATAATATATCAACCGTCATTTGTTATTCAAATTATCTAATCTAATAAATCATTAAATAAAGTTGTTAATCCTTTAAAAAAAATTGCATAGTCTGTTTTCAATCGTCAAACAATAAACACTTATGACGTCAAGGGGGGGGTCAGCAAGAAAAGAACAACAGAAGTTCCTGGAAATCCATTGTTCTTTTTTGAAAAATGACCGTTAATTTTGGACGTCAAAAGTGAACGACCCCTTATTAGTAATACATCATTCCAAATCTTATAAAGTTTAAATTCCGTCATTATTTAAACTTATGAATCATCTTTAAAAAAATCATTTTATAATTTAAGCCAATAGTTTGGAAACGTGGGAATCTCAGTAGAGTAGCTCGAGTAGCTAGTTTCTTAAACTTCCCTAGGAACTTTACTCCTTGAATTGATAATTGAAACCTTATTGCTTAGAATAATATATCAACCGTCATTTGTTATTCAAATTATCTAATCTAATAAATCATTAAATAAAGTTGTTAATCCTTTAAAAAAAATTGCATAGTCTGTTTTCAATCGTCAAACAATAAACACTTATGACGTCAAGGGGGGGGTCAGCAAGAAAAGAACAACAGAAGTTCCTGGAAATCCATTGTTCTTTTTTGAAAAATGACCGTTAATTTTGGACGTCAAAAGTGAACGACCCCTTATTAGTAATACATCATTCCAAATCTTATAAAGTTTAAATTCCGTCATTATTTAAACTTATGAATCCTTGAAATTGGATATTTTCAAATTTGAATACTAAGATCGACGTCTGTCCAAGCAGATTCACTTTAATATGATCAGATACTTCAAGACTCGACTATGTCACATCTCCATCCTGTAGTTAATTCCTTTATTGAATCAACTCAATATTCAAATTTAATATTCTAAAATGTAAATTGATGTTTAGGAGTTTATTAAGCAAGACGCAATATGAAATGAAAATTGATGAGTATTCAGACAGAGAATAATGAGAAATTTGGAGCTTTAACATCTTCAATGATTAAATAGGACAACAGATATACATTAGGGTGACTTTATATAAAGTTTAAAAGCATATCATTTCCCTTCCTTCATATCTAATTTTTACAGTAATTTCCTTGTGTTTGTTCAGGATGCTTTTGCAAACTTCCTACACTTCATGTTCAGCATCCGCATATCTTTAATGAAAATAGACTTTTTTTTATCATCAACGACATCCTATTCAGCCTGTTAACGAAGATGGAAATATGAAAATAATAAAATTAAGATAGTCAGCTACAGACCAAGAAAGAAGTTTTTACAGCCGTTCTCTTTTACAAAAGACAATTGATGGGTTTTTGATGAGCACGAAACTTTCAAAATCAATTCATCCAACTTTCCCCGTACTTGTCATGTATACTTTTCTTTCAAGTCATGCATATTTAACGTGACAAAGGAACTTTTCTTGGGGAAATATGGTAATTTTTTTGTAGAATTCATTTGAAAACATGTAAATTGGAATAAGGAGGGCTCGCTTTGAAAAGAGAATGTTAATTTCCTCAACCAAAAACCTCACTGAAATGGGAAATCATTGTTGAATATTAAATATTCAATGTTTTATAGCTTTTCTTGAACAACCTTGAAACGTGAGTATGGGGAAGTATTCAACGGCTATGATTGCCGAAAGGAAATGTCTAATTAATAAGGAGGCTTTCTTTAATTTTACTGTCATTTCTTTGTTCTTGCTATCCTAGACGGAAATCACTATTTAGGACCCCCCTACTTTGTAGCTATACCAAAAGTTTAATGTAGCATCACAAAATTCTGGCTCTTGGCAGATAATTGAAGATGCTAGGACTAGGACTAAGATTCAGCTCTGCAGCTCTAAAACTGAAGGGAGGGGGAGGGGTACCAAAGAGGAACAATGGATTTCTAGGAATTTACATTGTTCTTTTCTTGCTGACCCCCCCCCCCCCCCCCTCTCTCTTGATAAGTGAAAAGCCCCCAAGACCTTAAACATTTTTTGTGCCAATTTGAAAGCTATTTTTTGAGTCGTCCGGAGCAACACTGATTCAAAGGAACCCGATCGGCTCACAATTGGACAGCATGGATCTTCATTTTTCAATCCCTTGAAACTACTTTTGACTTTATAACTGAATGTTGAATCAAAAACCCTGCAAAACCTATTAAATTAAATGTTACTAGAAATGATTATGATAAATAAATAAATAGTTGCAGTTCATAATTGAAATCATTATGTATAATGCCTGGAATGAAAATAAATTTAAATTGTATGCTGTCAACATCTAATAATAATGTTGAAAATTAATGAAAAATAAATGGAAAAATTTTCGATGACATTTAATTTTGTTTCTTTTTCTCTCTTGTGATTTATGAAAATTGGAAACTGTGTATCACAAATAGCACAAAACAGCACGATATTCGTCAATTTAGAGCATCCTTTTAAATTAATTTTCACAGCGTTCATCGATTTTTTTTTTGTTCCTTATCAGATGATTGCATTTTTGGATGTTTTCATTGCCTCGCTGCTTCAATTAATCATGTTGAGCAATACTCGGTAGAAAAAGCAATCAGCAGATATGGATGCAAGCTTTTCGTGCAATTTAGGAATCATACATCTAGTCAATCAGGCAAACGTAATCAATAGACATACATTTGTTCAATTTTCACTATCAAATATCATTGCTGCAGCTTCCTTTAGGGCATCAAATTTCAAAATTAAAAACTGTTGAGCTCTATATGCAATTTGGATGCTGCACAAATGTAGTTTTTAACCTTCAGAGTACTAAAATTTAATTACCAGCATTACAAGATGTAAAACAAAGCATTTCCAAGTTTTTAATACTTTTTCTTTATTTTTTTTTAAGCACAAAAAACAAATTTTTTAATCACTTTTTTTTGACATTCTCATAAAAATAAATATATAGAATCTTAAGTTCTATGCTCTCAATAGTTTCTCGTATTTGTTGATTTTATAAGTTATTGGATTAAAGAGATAATTTTGTTAATTATTCATGTCATATCATCTATGCATACATAATAAGGATAGCATTAATAAAATATAAATTCATTTTTGAGTTCTTGTAATTTTAATATTTTATAATGTACATAAATTGTATGTGTGTACGGGTTGAGTACATTAATATTGAATGTATCTATCAAAAATGTTTTCAAGCCACTTAAAGAAAGTTTTATATGTTTTAAGAAAATAATTCTAGCTCGTTAGGCATACAAGGTCAATTTTTTTTTGTTAATGAAATATGAAGCACATTTTACGTCCAATGCATTTCCTTTCATCCACACACACACACACACACGACACGGCAGGTGAGTTTGATTTCATTCCAAAAACGTGACGCAATAAAAAAAATCTATTAGACAGTTGGGTAATTTTATGTTTTATATAGTTATATGAACGTATAAGTTAATGACTCATTTATGATCTTAAGGCTTCAAGCCTGTTTTTCATATCCTCCAAGTCCTCTTCTTCATCTTCTTCATGCGCAACTTTACTTGTTGATGCTTCTGCAGGTGTTGTTAATGGAACAGATGGAGCTTCGCCTAATTTACCGTCTGTTAATTCCCAAAGAACCTTATCAACTTCACCTTGAGCCTCTTCTTCAATTTCTTCTGAATCTTCTAGCGACTCCATTGTTTCTTCGATCATTTCTTCAAGAATACCGGCTTTTGTCATTTCTCTAGACATATCTCGCATTGTATCGGCGATTTCAGGCAATCGAACGAGTTTCTGCATTGCAGCCATCACTTCTGTTGACTTTTGAAGCGATCCAGACACTTTAATTGTAGCTGGTTGTGGACAGATTATAGATTACCTAATAAGTCTTGAATCAGAAACAGATAATTGACATACCTAGCTGTTGTGCCATTTGCAGTTGAACAGAGCTAAGTGTTGCTTTACTAGCATAAATTCTGTTTACGGCCTTTCTGGATCTTACGACTTCCTTCGCTAATATTGTGCAAACTTGCTTGTCGTTCTTCTTTGCAGCCTCTTTAAGTGATTTCTTAATCTTATCTTCTTCACGTTTTATCGACCGTATTTGACGATCGAGTGCGTAGCCCTCTTTGCGTAATTTCGCGTTCCACTCTTTTACCTAAACACATACATAAATTACATGCATTAAGTAATACATTTACTGTAATTTAATGAGTATTTTGAAGTTTCTTACCATTTCAGATGGATTCTTCTGTTTACTTTGTCCAAATAAGCCCATTTTGTATCACGATTATTTCTTTTTATTAGCACAGTTAATAGATTTAGAGAATATTACAAATTATTTTAGTTCCTTTGCTGTTTTTCAGTCAATTAATTATGACTCATCCAGCTATTTTCAGTTAAGACTAATTTAGCCACTTTTACAACGTGATTATGCCTGATTCCAAAAGCAATTGCCAGAGAAAACCTGTTTCACTTCTATTTTGAAGGAATTAAGTGTTGAAATCACAAAATAATTAAGAAATTCGTATTTAATCAAAAATTCCGACGAACTTTACAATTATCTATTTTTCTCGAATAACAAATTGATTTTGTTAATACTGGCTAGCTGATTCACTGGGCTTTTGGATATCCTTTTAGTTTTTATCACTATCACTTTATTTAACAAACCAGAACTGCTTAAAACTTAATTAATTATTGCTGTGAAATAAGCAAGAATAATATAAACAAACGAATGGGAAAACAACTTATTTTAAATTATTTTCAACCGTTACGAAAATATGGCAACGTCGCAATTTTCTTTTTTTGTGTAATTTACATTCTTCATCAGAGTTGTGCAAAGCGGTCAGTTTTATGTTTTAAATACTTTTTCTTGTTTAAAATGTAACGTTATTTTAAAATTCAAATATCTCTTTTTTAATTTTCAAAAAATTACCGTTAAAAATGTCAGCAGCATGTTCATTGTACCTGAAATCAGAGTTGCCAAACAGGTCACCTGTGACAGGTGAAAACCTTTCAATTCCTTGATAATTTGTATGGTTTTGTTAGAAAAACCTTATAAATTATCAAGGAATTGTAGGGTTCTCACCTGTCACAGGTGCCTGTTTCGCAGCTCTGCCTGAAATGTTAAAGGATATCCAACAAAGTATCAATTTTTGTATAATTTTATTGCAATTTTTTTCAATGTTTTTCTTCTTTTTCAAAAAAATACATAATTTCATCAAAAAAAAAATTTATGAAAACACAAAAAAATGTATTGATAATTAATTAAGGAAGATAGTATTGAATACATAATATGTTCGCTTTAATCATATGGCATAAAATTTTTATATAATAAAAAGTGGAGAGTGGGATAAAAACTCAATGACGCATAAAGTCGCTTATTCAATATACTAATAATGATAGTAATGAAGAGATAAAATACAATGCAACTGATAACGAAGTTTAAAAATTAATAAAAAGTTCTCTCATGCAAATTTATAGAACACCATGGGATGAGGATAAACAATGTCTCTCACATCAGATCTGGTTCTTCATTTTAATTCAATAAAAAAAAAATTAAATTGTCTTAATAACTGATGACTAATCTGCTAAACATATATTTGCTCTTCATCGCTTAACATTCAACTCTGTATGGACTTCCAGGAACATGTTCTTCACCCCACTTTACCATCAAAACATATTCGCCTTTTTCACGTACTACATAGTTGATGCTATAATTGTTACGTCCTGTATGCTTGATATAACATTCCTCGCATGGTCCTTTTGGTCCGTACATTCCTACATAAAGTATGTTGTTTCCTGTGCACAAAAGCATTTTAATTAATACAAAAATTATTAAGCGTAGCTATAATTTGAACTTACCAGCATTACTACAATTAACAGTAAAATTGTTTTGTTTTCCTATGTAGGCTTTTTTAAGAGCTAAACCTTTAGCTTGAACTTTATTGGCATCTGAATTAAACACAGGAATAAAAGGCCCTGTGCTCTTTCCAGTTTTAGCAAATTTAACGACTGTATCGACATTTACAGTTGTTGTTTCTTGTCCACCACCGTCAGCAAGTTTCTCACCGTCAACGACAATTTTATATGGAGATCCAACAATATGACAATGATTATATTTGATCGTGCAATAGTAATCTCCTGGAAGTAATGGCGTATAACGAACCTTATAACCTTCCTCGACTTCTGTACAATCCATTGAAACTTTTGATGGACCATCCATTGTTACTGACAATAAGCCACATCCAGCATTGCAAGTGTCAATTATGAAAACTCCTTTTTGACCAGTTTTACCTTCGTGCAATCCATCGCCGCTTGCATGAACAGATGCTGGGTCTGCATCATCTTTTCCTACCTTAATACGGAACGGCGAGCCAGGAATGTGAACGCCATTGAACTTTGTATGGATTGCATGAATGCCTGTTATATAATTTATTAATTAAAATAATTCACAACCAAAGCTATTAAGAATTTACCATTTTCGCGTGGATAGAATCGAACTGAATAATTGTCAGGATCCATTAATTGAATGAAGCAGTCATCTTCTGTATTTGATGGTGCAACGACTTTTGCATCTAAAGCACCTTGTGCACCATTTTTACGGACAATAAATTGAGCTGGCTTATCAGGTTGAACTGGACCGTCGGGAAATTGTGCAACTTCTAATTTATGTGCTTCAATCATCGATGGTTGAATGTAAACTTTGAACGGTGAGTCAGGTATATGACGATCATTAAATTTAATTCCAACACGATAATCACCAAGCTCAGATACGACATAAGATACATCGCAAGATCCATCTTTACGATCTCTAAAGTCAATTTCAGCTTTACTTGGTCCCTCAACTGAAATAGCTAAAGTTCCACCACCAGCTTCGCGTGTCCAAACATTAAACTCATTCTTTTCACCAACTTCACCATGATCTAAGCCAGGTCCACCAGCTTTGACCAAATGAGCACCAGTATCACGTAAAGGACCGACAGTAAATTGGAACGGCGAACCTATACAGCCACAATTAATAACTTATTCGACTTAAAATAATGAAATCTTACCTGGAATATGCATTTCCTTGTAGCGAACAGATACTGTATGAATTCCCAATTCTTTTGGAACGAAAAAGACTGAATATAATCCATCTTCAATTTCTTGCATTTCAGCATCTTCCGTTACATTGCCTGGTGAAGTGACTTGAGCTGATAAATCGAATGATGTAATGCCAGGCAATTTAAATGATAATTTGCACTGACTTCCGACTTCTGTAACTGGAACTGCTTCACGTTGACGTTGAATCTTTTCACGCTTTCTATTAGTTCCATCTCCAACAACTTTGACAGTAAATGGAGATCCTTCAACATGATGATCAGCAAATTTCAAATTTACAACATAATATCCAGGCTCAGTTGGTTTATAGGAAATATTTAATGTTCCATCTTCCTTATCCTGACAAACAATTTCAGCTTTACTTGGACCTTCAATTGACAACGATAATCCACCATAACCAGCATTACGTGTATCGACGGTAAAGAAATTTTCTGCATGTGTTACACCCTCTTCCAATGCCTCTCCTGATACTTTAACTTTTTTCGCATCACCAACTTCTCGTTCAGCTACATTAACTTTAAATGGCGAGTTATTAATGTGCTTTCCCAAACGCTTAACAGATACAATATGTTCGCCGGCTTCACGTGGTGTAAATGAAATGCCAATGTTTCCTGATGGCATGCGTTTTAAAAAGCAAGGTTCTTCTAAGCCCGATGGTGACTTTATGTGGGAAATTTTCAAAATAAATAAATTTATGATAATCACTTCTCTTAATAGCCATTAACTGCTTATGTTTTACCTGAATAGAAGCATTAAGTGAACGAAGATCATTATCTGAAATTTTGCCAGGGAAAGTAACTTCCGAGCATGATCCGACAGATATTTGATTGCGTTTACGTCCTTCGCCAGTAATCTATATATTAATGATCGATTTTTAAGGATATGATTCATAAAGTAACAGACTAAATTTACCTTAGCAAAGAATGGAGAACCTTTGATATTCTTGTCACCAAAACGGACAGAAATTTTATATTCTCCTGGTGCTGTTGGTAAATAACTGACTGCTACAGTTCCATCCTTGTTGTCCTTGTAGCTTATCTGTAGTGTCAATTAATTCATTATGTCATGAAAAATTATAAAAAAAAATAAGGTTTTACCTCAGCTTTGCTTGGTCCCTCGACAGCCATTGACAAACCACCTGCACCAGCTCCTTTTGTTGAGATTGTAAAGAATACAGACTCGCCAGTAACGCCATGAGTTAATCCAGGTCCGTATGCAGTCACAAAACCAGATGAAATGGAATCAACATAAAATTTAAATGGTGAACCTGTGAATTAAACATAATTTGATTAAAACCTTTGAGATGTAGGCACGAAAGTGTAATTACCTTGAACATTTTCACCGTTATACTTGAGAGTTAATTCGTGAGCACCCTCCTCGCGTGGATCATAACGAATGGATACAGTTCCATCATGATTATCTTCAATTGTTGGTTTATCAATATTTCCACTAGGCATTTTAACGTCAGCTGAAAAGAAAATGATAATCATTATATTCTGATATCAAGCTACAAAAAGCAATAAAATCAAGTCATAATGAGCAAATCTTCTCATCATCATTTTGTCGGAATGAATATTAGATTCGAAAAACGTAAAGTTATTACGGCAAGGAGAAAAAAAAATATTTTTAATTTGCATTTTTCATTGCTCTCGCTTCCTTTCACATAGTCACAGTTAGGAATTAATTAAGCCACGAGATTAAAATTGAATCACAAAGCGTCTTCATCTCCTTCAGAAATGTTTATTATTTTTCCCATTAAAAATATTTATTTCATTTTGTACAATAATTTTCATTTAATTAAAGCACTTTTCCTCTCTTTCTCTTTTGTCGCAGACAGTAAGCAGCAAGCAGGAACGTCACCAACCACAATCTTTTTCTCAAATAAAAAAATAAGGAAAAATACGCGAGCAGTGAGAACAGATCATAAACATTAATTTTACAACTTTTAATAGTCATGAAAAGAATTAATTTTCCTCTGTGGAGAAAATTGCAGCGATAAAGAGACAGAGACAGTGAGAAGAAAAAGGAAGTAATACTTGTAAGAATGTTGATTGGGTGAGCAATGAAATGAATTTTCATATTTCTATCCAGCATTCAGTAGGTGCGAAGAGCAAATTGTATATTTTGTAATTGATATAATTTATTGCTTATGATGCGCCATTCATCGGCAACTTCTTTGAATATTTAACACATGTACAATCAGGATGTGATTTAATAAATTTTCTCCTAATCCTTCGTTCGTTCACGATCAAGTCGTAATAATATTAATATTTTGTAATTAGATAACTTATGATGTGCCGACAATTTATATGTCTTTGACTCGATAAAATTTAATTTGTCCCAAGAGACTGCCTTAATTCAGCTCAGAGCATCAACAAGAAAAAATATTTTTACAATCGATTTACTTCAAATCATGTGAAAAAATTAATTATTTTCGTGAACAAAGAGAAAGGAGAACAAAAATCATTGCTTCATTAAAATCAGCCGGATGTGGATTTTTATGATATTTAAAACAATTTCTGTTGGATGTATCATTAGACAATTTCTATTAATGAATTTAATGTCCTTCTAAATAATGCGTTCAGGAAGATTCTTTTCAATCGCATTCTGCATAAATGATGTCTATTCAGCACTGCTTCTTTTTGACTTCTTCATAGGTTGTGAAACAGCTTCAGAGCCCTAACCCGACTGAACCTTGAAAAGCCCATAACAGTGCAGTTCTGTTCAAAGACATACAATTGATAAGAATCGAATGCTAAGAACCTCTTAAAACCCCAAGAATAAATCAATTGCGTTCCAATTAACTGTCCCATAAAGTTCCGCATTTGTAACAAAAAATTGAAGCTAATGAAGCCAATTATTAACCGTTCACAATCGTTAAATTTCTCTGCTTACAATAACAAAACTTTTTTCCTTATTTCTTCCCATTCCATTTAATGAGCAGATTTCTGTGGTTGTAAAATTTTCACATTATACTGTTAACAATTAATTTTATTGAAGCTGGCTATCATGCGCAGCTATTTATTTTTTGCTCATTCTGATATAAAACTTAATGCCCATATGTTACGGATAACGTTGTGTTATTTGAGTAAATCGCGATATTACATAACAAAAAAGAAATACGGGAAGTGTGAAATTATTAAAGTTTTTCGTACGTTCCTATAAGGATGTGATAATTTATTGCTTTTTTCCTCTTTTTCACTTATTCTGTTACATGATAGATATATCTTAAAGCATGAATGAGGATTCGTCTTCCAAGGACTCATTCATTTATTACGTTCCTCAAAGAAAACTATTAAAAAATACTTAAAAGAATGGTCCAAAATTTCAATTCAAAAATCTGCCTTATATCCACAAATAAAATATAAAGCATGATATCGTCAAAAAATTCTGAATATGGCCGAATAGAAATAATTTGTGAATTCTTCCACAATTTCACATTATGATTTATCTACGACCGAAATATTCATTTTAACATATTTTTAAGGATGTATGTTAAACTTTAATATTTCATTACAGTTCGTCCCATTCGAGTATCCTTTGGATTGAATCCATAAATACTATGGGTCCTCGATTTGAATAGAATTTTTCTGGAACAAAACACCTACTCAAATAGAGGACCCCCAGTATCTAGTTTAATGCCACATTTAAAATTTCCTATCCTGAACCTCTTACCCTAATCAACAAATAACATAAGTCTAGGCTTGATAATATAAGGAACATGCATTTTTGTAGATAAGCTATTAATTCTTCCTTAATTCAATTGAATATTAATAAATCAATAACTAAGAATTCAATTTTAAGACTCATCCATGAAATAACTTGCTACCCAAACTTTTTATTGCAGTCCTTCCTTAAACGATTATTCTATAGACGATAGAGAATAGTGATAAAAACTATATGCTCCATAAATATGCACAACTATTCCATTCGTATAGTCAAAAGAATAATTCATGAACAATAAATCAAACTGTTACCTTTATGAGTATGAAAGAAATGACTTGATATGAAATTTAATGGTACAAAATCGCGATCGTATGCACCATAAGTTGGAACATCCTGTTCTATATAGAAGAAACTGGCGTTTTCTTTCCGATCAAATTCAGAGAATGTTAATGAACGAAATATTTCCTTATGAAATGAATTAAATTCTTCCCAAGTAGCTTCAATTGGTGGTTCTTTAAAGTATGTATCGTCAGAATCAAACCACATAACTTAGCGGACGTAAACTTGATTTAATTGAAGATTCTTTTGGTATCTTTTTTTTTCACTCGTTAAAAACCAGAAAAAGAAACTTTTAGGTCAACATTAAGCTATTAAATTAAAATCTTTTTGAAACAGCTTTTGCTAATTAATTTAATTAAAAAGCAATTTTATTCCTTTGCACACACAAATCTGAATCCAAAAGCCTTCATACAACCAGATCAACTTTCACACTTTCATAACTTTTTTATTTTCGAAGGATATAAAAAACTTTCTGGATACACTATAAGCACGCGACTGACACAACCGTTCGATCCCGTGAACGAACTGTGAGTGACACGAAACGTTTTCAAATGAGATCAGACTTGATAGATTCTACACTCAATTCCACTAAAATTTCCCCAACATATTCGGTTCGGTTCCTCTTATATACAATTTTTTTAATCTTAACATATACATCAAATTTTAAAGCAGTAAAAAAGCGAAAGAAATTCTCAAACGACTAAATGAAAAAAATAAATTCCTAAAGATCATCATAATCGAATCAAGTAATAAGCACATCCATCTACAAATACATCACGATCCAGCAGAAAAAAAAATAAAATTCGGAAAAAAATAAATGAATGTTTTGGCAGCCACAGAAAATATACAGCAATGAGAAAAATATTCGTATATGATGTTTAGAAAAAATGACAACAGCTGTACTTGCAAAAATAATGAAATTTTTCAATCTTGCTCGTTTTTGAAATAGCCAACGAAAGAAGATAAAAGAATTGAGCTGAGCTTTAAAAAGCAATTCAAGCTAGTGATAGAAGATTTTTTTCCAAACAATAAATGTCATTGGAATCAACAAGAGATTTTTAAAATTTCATGGAGATATGAACTATTTAAAAAGCCATGATCAGAATAACAGCTAGCCTGTCAGCAAGAGAGATATCTAACATTGCTTCATCAAAAGAGTGTTCTGAATATTTCATTCACATTTCTATGCCATAAAGTTAATAAACTTAGTTGAAATAAAGCTATAAAAGTCATCATGTCCATCATTTAGTCAAAATCGAGATCATTCATCAGAATTGATATCATCACTAAATTTTTGATTTGTTAAAAAAAGGTTAATGTCCGTTTTACTATCAACTGCTATAGAGATTTAAGTGACTTTGAGTCAAGAAGGAGTTTTAGTTGCCAACCGAAGATATGCTTGACAACATCGCCCTTGGATATGATTTATTAAAAATTCACAAAACTCATTTGTTATTACCAAATGGCATAAGAAATCAGGAAAACAAGTTTTTCCATCGCACAAGCTGTCATGTACTAATTATTTGGAGAAAAATCTTATGTATGTCTATTAAAAAATAATACATAAGCACATACATGAGCAGCAGTCAAAAGATGATCATGAAAAAATAATTTATTGAATTCCAAACATTTCATATTTCATGTATACACGCATGTATCCGCTATTTATTAAGCACTCGAGCATATAACAGAAATATGAAAAACAGGAATAGATGTATGTGTTGTAATTGGATCGTCTGTAGAATAATAAATTTATGTACCGATAGATGTGACAGACAGTAACATACAACATACACAACTCTGGAATGTCGATTTTATTTTCAATGTTCCGAAGATTTTCCAGCCAGTATGTCCAACATTTAATACATGTGGAGAGTGAAAACATTCAATTTCTTTCCTTTTTTTTCTCCACATTTCACATGACATGAATTGGATATAACGAGAGAGGACGGCATGCAACTACTGTAGGATATTCAGTCACATGATGCTTATTGCGGTTTCGGAATGAATTAGAGCATACACAATGTTATATGCGGTTATTTTTGTTGTGTGTGCGGGTTACAAATTAAAATTGTGTAATGTCACTGAACCGGAAGTTGCACTTTCCCATTCACTCCACTCTTTGCTGCCATTTTTACAAACACAATTGCAGAAATTTTCCCTCTAATTCAGTTAGTCACTATGCGGCAGCATTGTGGCACGAAGCAAAAATCTAATTATAAACGAATTTTTGCTTGGGATATACTGGATGGATATATATTGCATTACAAAATTAATGACGAAAATTAATATTTTTATTTACATTCATTATGATTTTAATTAGTATATCTTCTGTCTTAATTATGAAGATAGAATTAGAAAATTGAGCTATTAAGCATTTCTGTCCGAAGCTTTTCTTGGATCACAAAATATATAAAAATTCAAGGAACTTTTATTTAAGCAAGGTCAGCAGCTGCCGAATTT